ACACACACACACACACACACACACACACACACACACACACGGCGCCTGCTCCGAGCCTATGCAGCTGAGGTCACCTGTCAGGGCTGCAAAGGGAGAGGAAAGCCTAGCCTGCCATGTGTACCAGTTCCCAGGAGGTGCTTGGGCCCCTTGGTCTGAAGGGTTTTCTCCGGGGAAGTCTCCTGGTTGTTTCTCTGGTCCTGGTCAAGGGAAGGAGCCAGGGGTGGGGGGAAACGAGGCGAGGCCAATCCGGATTTTCCAATTGTTCCTGGTGTGTGTTTGCTCCAGGAGCTGGCAGGAGGAAGTTCTCTGCACAAAGGCAGGAAGGCAGAGGTGCTCTGTGGCAAAGGCGAAGGCACAGCGGCCCTGGGACAGCCTGAGGGTCTGCAGCACAGAGCGCCGGGCAGGGCAGCCATCGCAGGGGCCTCCCTGGCATCTCTCACCCCTCCAAGGGCATCAACTCAGGATGTCACAGATGGGGAAACAGACCCAGAGTTTAGACCTGCCCAGGTCACATAAAGGCTTCCAATTCAGCACCCTCTCCACTCTTCTTCAAGTTCACAACCATTGACTGAACACGTTTGATCAAGTTCCTAGAAGGTGGTGATCCCTCACCAGCTGTGGTTTTAAGAGGGTTCCCTTTAAGATGTACGCCTTTACAGAGCTTTTTTGAAGAGGCACTTACATGACATACAACTCACCCACAGCAGGCATACTGTTTGATGCGTGAATTTCCACAGCAGCTCAACCACCAACACAAACTATTTTCAAGCTTCCATCACGCTGTTTGCCCATCTGCTGTCAACCCCACCCCAACCCCAGGCAACCACAGGTCTGCTTTCTGTCTCTGTAATTTTGTCTTTTTTAGAAATCTCCACCTTCTTAAAAAAAAAAAAAAGATAAGAAGAACACTGCTGTCCTCAGGCCTGGAAAGGGGAAGACGACTGAGGGCAAAAAAGATGTCTTTGTGAAGGGCCTAGAATGTGGGGCCCAGCCCCTCCTGCTTCAACTCCCAGATGAACAAACTCAGGGTCAGAGAGGCCTGGGGTATGGTTCAGTCTTTTTAACCCAAGCCTGCATCCCAGACGCTAATGACAGTGGTAGCAGCGGTGGTACTACTCAGGGCCCGGCCTTGCCATGCCGTGCTACTCCCCTTCCCCCACAGCGGGGACACACGGGCACACACACACACACACACACACACACCCCGGCCTTGCCACGCCGCACTACCCCCCTTCCCCCATAGCGGACTGCGGCTTAGGACATCCCCTGAGGGCTCCCGGACTGTGAGAGGGGGCAAGCTGGGCTGAGGGACCCCCCACCCCCAGTGCATGAATTTCGTGCACTGGGCCTCTAGTAGATTATAATCAGAGTATATTTTTAAAAATAGGGGAACAAAGACATTTCAATTTTACAAATATAAACAAAATTTTTTCATGAAAAAAGTACCCTTACTAATGTAAATTATGTACCCAGTTATTTCAAAGATTTTTCTGTTAATGCTGTAGACTTTCTACTTTGGAAATTTTACTTGTGAGGATGGAAACAAATTCTTGTCATGCTCTCAACGTCACAGAGATATATAATTGACCATAACAGTGTAATGTAAATTACCTCATTTCCTTTAAAATACCCATCCCTAACTTGAGATAACCTGATCCAGTTCCTATTTGCTTTTTTATTTCAGTCTAAGCCCTTACATATGTAAAGTGACTCCTTTCTACTTCTGTTTGCCTGCAAGTCATATTTAATTCCCAGGCTTAAGATCAGCAGTTGCTGTGCACTGAATGTTTCCCTCTGCGACCAGTTTTCAGAATGTGAAACAGATTTAGTACCAGCCTCTGCACAGTCATACAAGTAAATGCTGGTATTGAGGCAAAACCTTATTTGCCTTGAATTACTTCAGTACAAATAAGAACTAATATTTTTTCTATGATAAAGGATTTCCCCCATCACCAGGTTTCTTTCCTAAACCTACAATTATAAGCACCTAGTATTTAGAAGTAACTTAATGGTTTAATAGAGCTGCCCTTAAGTGGTGAGAAATTCTGGGTTCTTTTATTTGGCTATTTAGTTCAAACAGAAGTTTTGGTTCTCGTTGTAGGCTGGCTAAAAAGCAGTGTAATCCCAATAAATATAGTTTAGTCTCAGTTCACAACATATACATACCCGAAAGAAGGTCTTTGGTAGGGGGATTATTTGAAGAAAGAATGCACGAGTCACTGTGACTCTTGGCAACTGTCCTAATTTGAGGCTGCAATTCAGAACTGTTGAGAAGAGACATCTGTTTCTGTGGGGCTTTGCCTTTCAGAGACATAGACTCTAAGCTCTGCCCTGAATTAAGATGGTGCTGTAGTCCAAAAAAAGAGTCCTTTGTTCTATCAGAATTCTCTGCAAAGTACAAGTGGTCCTTTCCCCTGTTTTAAAATAAAAAACATCAGCAGTTTATTCTCCACATGGTAACATTCCACTTTGTCAGAGACAGAAAGTGGATCAGTGGTTTATAGCAGTAGCAGTGTAGCTTAGATTTTGTAATCTGTTTTTCACGTCCCAAATGAAGTAATAGAGGCTTTGCCTACTTCTGTGTGGTTGTGGCTAAAGTGCTGGGCCTGACACAAAGCAAATGCTTCAATATTATTTAAAATCAAAAGCTATTCCTCTTACTCTATTCTGTTTCACGAAATACTGCCTTTCCCTCTTTACTCATGGACATCTCATGTCATCTGCACATGACGTAGTCATACTTATTTACCTGAATGTTGGCCTCCCCACTAGACTGTAAGCAGACCTCAAAAACAGGAATTATGTCTTATTATTTTATTTTTCAATGTCAGTTGTCTTTCGATATTTTATATTAGTTTCAGGTGTACAGTACAGCGATTTAACATTATATAACTTACAAAGTGATCTCCCCAATAATTCTAGTACCTTCCTGGCATCATGTTATTATAATATTATTGATTATACTTCCTACACTGTATTTTCCAACCCCATGACTATTTTGTATGTCTTATTAATTCCTATGCCCAGTAGTTGGTACTGGACAAGTCATTATTTGCTAAATGAGTGCCTACCTTTAGTCTTTTACCCAATCATAAAATGAAAGGCAGAAATTATGGGTGTAGTGGGAATTAGCTGACAGACTGACTGGTATTACGTGTGGTAATTACCTTGGAGTGGTTGATCTACTACTATTGGCTGTTAATTCTTTTCCATTAATTTTGGTGGTAGATATCCTGTGGGGTCTTGATGGAACCAGAAACTGGGTATTGCTGGGTTCAGTATATTCTCTGAATCCCTCCTCAGATAAAAGTGCACTTTCTGTCATGTCAGTGGTAAGAAGAGGGTTGTAGCTGTCATAAGTTTCTGACAGAGGCTCCAGGGCAAGTGAGACCTGAAAGAGACATGTAATATACGAGAACTTGTCTTTAGTATTGACTAATTTTGAGACTCCTTGCTTACTATAAATTAACGTCCCCCATTCCTTATAGGACCAAGTTAAAATTCCTGCCTACCTCAGAAGCCTCATCTCTCACTGTTCTTCCCTCCTCCAACCCTCTCTTGTAGGTAAACCATTACTTAGGGTTCTCTAAATGCACCTTATATTCATTCCCTTATGCCTTTGTACATGCAATTTCATCAGTATTACTTTTTCTGTGTAAACTTCTTTGTATCCGGGAAGAGATGTCATAGCCACTCCCTTCCTTCATGTTTCTGCTTACTCAATATAACCATCTCTTATTGAACACTTTACTATAGAACAGAAGCTGTGCTAAGTTCCTCACACAGAAAAGCTCATAAAATACTGTCAGAAAAGTATATTACCCTAATTTGAAGATTACAAAGAACCAAGAGAGGCTTAGAGGAGGTATTTGTAACTTGTAGCTTATTTTTCATACTGATTATGAAATCCTTGAAGGCATGGACTGTCATATTCTTTTTCTGTGGACTAATTAGCATAGTACACGGTGTACAAGTCTAGTATGCCTAATGACTAATAAACTGAACAATAGAAGAGTGACATTATCTCCCATGTCGTCATTGTTAGTTATTCAAGAAAAATAAGGCCCTCGTTCTAAGCTGGGAATAAGGCAGGGTAAGAAGGGAGAAACACTTAGACAAAAAGTAATCACTTGAAATTTCCTTTATCATCTCATTCCTGTGAGATCAGGTTCCCCATTAAAAGGTTCTCCAGTCATCTGAAAAGCCTAATGAGGAATAGAAAATAAAATAGATTCTAGAGCACAACTCTACACAAGAAAGTTGAATATACTCCAAAAGAAAAGAATAGCTGTTATTATTTAAGCAGCCAAAGAGAATCAAACAAAAATGAAAGATTGCAGTTAGATGCTTTAAGATGTCTCTGGGGAGGTCAATGAAATAATCTGGGCAGAGAAACTGCTAAGGCACAGACTCAATAAAACATACTTGGGTCTTAACGAGAATTCTGCTCATGAATCAAATAACATAGTTTTTTAAATCTATTCATCATCAATCTACAAAGACAACAGACAGGAATGCAGTGGGACAAATACTCTGCGCAGTGATCATTGTAATAGCGTCACATGAAATCCTGGCTGCCCAAATGTGAATGCCGACAAGTGTTCCCTTGCAATTCATCACTTGCCAAAAGACTGAAAATGTATTCTAGAAACAAAGGAGACACTGAGAATAATTGTTGTGTCCCTGGCCTTAACATTGACCTGCTGGCTGGCTCACCACTGAATTTTGCTTTTTCCCTAAACCAGATTTCTTTTTTTGAAGGTTTTAAACTACAAATGCAATTTATTTAATAGTTTAGAGGTCTATGCAAGTTATGTATTTCATTTTGAGTGATTTCTGGTAGTGTGGTTTTCAAAGAATTGATTTATTTTATATAAATTGTCAAATTAATAGAATTGTTTGTAATATTGCCTCAATGTCTCTGTGTTATGTAGGTTGCTGTCTTTCTTACAGTAGAATCAAGAGGAAAATGAAATATTTCTTGTACTAGTATTCATAAAAGAGAGAACTAGAGACCTATAATTTTCAAAAGAAATGGAAGAAGGCATTTTCTTTATGGAAGAGAATATTCCTAATGATGAAATAAAGCAAACAAAATGAGACTATCAAAAGTTAGCATTTATGAAACAAATTACAGAAGCATAATCAGTATGTAAAAAAGATGCATGATGAAAATGGAATAAACAGAAATGTATTGAAATTTAAGCAGGATTTGTTTTTTAAAAACTAATAAGTGGTATTTCTGACACAAAATTATTAAGATAAAAAGCTTTTTAATATATATATTTTTTATTGATTTCATAGAGGAAGAGAGGGAGAGAGAGACAGAAATGATGAGAGAGAATCATTGATCGGCTGCCTCCTGCACACCCCCCACTGGGGATTGAGCCTCAAACCTGGGCCTGGCCTGACCGGGTATCAAACTATGACCTCCTGTTTCACAGCTCTATGCTCAACCACTGAACCACACCAGCCAGGCTAGTCTATGTTTATTCAACATTCTAAAGGTATTATTGAATTGTCTTCTGGCTCCTAATATTTCTATTCAGAAGCCTGAAGCAATACTACTTCCCAATTCTTTGTATGTGACTCTCCCTTTCACTGGAAGCTTATTGGATTGTCTTATTTTTAATATTCTGAAATGTCACAATGTTTATACCTTGGTATAAGTTAGTTTTCACCCATTGTGTTATACTCAAAGGGCCATTCTAAAAAAATTTTTAATATGAAAAGTGTTTTTATTAAGAAAAATTTAAAACACAAAATTAGAAATAATTGGTAAAATGAACTCAGGTATTCATTATTCAGTTTCAATAATTATCATCAAATGACTAATCACATTTCATTTATACCACTGGGATATTGTGACACAAGTCCTAGATATCATACCATTTCTTCTGTAAATACGTTAGTAATAAATGAGGATTCTTTCCCTTTCCAGAACATAAACATGTTACCATTAGCATATATAAAGCATAAATAATATTTTTAATATTGTCAGAAATTAAGTCAACATTCCAATTTCCCTGATTGTTTCTAATTTTTTTCATAACTGGGACCTCAGTAGCTTTTTAAATATGAAAACGGATATATTTAATACTGGGAAGTAACTGAACTACCTGCTAGAGTCCAATACTCCTTAAAGGAAAAAAAAAATCAAGTACAGAACATGTAAATTCACAATGTCCAGTATGCAATCAAAAATTACAAGAAGCAGGAAGAGCCCTACTATCTCAAGAACACTGAAATCAATTAAAACAAACAAATGACAAAGATAGTCAAAGTAATAGATAGGATCTTGAAACAACTATTATATAGATGCTCTTAATGCTCAAGGATGCAAAAGAAAATATGAATGTAAAGCAAAAAATAAATTGTACATTTAATATATGAAATTTGTTACTGGGTTGATCATTTCCTAAATTATATAAATGTTTAATCACTGAGTTGTACACCTGAAACTAATATAATATTGTATGTCAACTGTAATTAAGAAATAAAAACTTATTTTTAAAAAAGATAAACTTAAAAAAACAAAATTTAAAAAATGTAACTTTTAAAGAGATGAAAAACAGTATCTGAAATGAAAACATGATTGATGGGATTAAGAACAGATTAGACACTGTACAAAAAAAGATCCGTAACAAAATTCTAGTAAATCGGATCCAGCATTTTTC